AGCATGGCCTAACCTTGGAACCGCACAGCGTCAATCTGCTGTATCCTATCAGTTACAAGTGGATCACAAAGGCCAGCCCCGATTCAAGGGGAAGGATATTTATGGAAGCAATGTCAAAGAACTGGAAGCCATGTTCTACAACCACAACCACCTACTGAGGTCTCACAGCTTAAAATCACCACCTTCTGGAGGGCACCCTGCCCCAAGCCCGGACTGAGTGCCTCCTCTGTGTTCCCAGCCCTGCTGCTCATCTCCATCAGTGCGTTTCTACCTGTGTTTATGTATCTCTCTCCTTCTCAGATCTGTGGACTCAGTGGGAACGGAGCATGTCTGTCCTTTTCACCTTTGTCTGCCCAGGGTCTGGCATTAGCAAACCCTTAATAAATAAGGGTTTTTTCTGTTGAATGGGTGAGTGAATGAGACATTGAATAACCTAAGGTATGGAGTCTTCCTCATGAAGCTCACATATTCATGAGAAATATAGATAAAAATAAAAACTGTGTGTGCCAAATACTATTAAGAAAAATCAAACAGCCCTGGCTGGTATGGCTAAGAGGGTTGAGTGCCAGCCTACAAACAGAAGGGTCACCAGTTTGATTCCCCGTCAGGGCACATGCCTGGGTTGTGGGCCCGGTCCCCAGTTGGAGGTGAGCAAGAGGCAACTGATTGTTGTGTCTCTCACACATCAATGTTTCGCTCCTTCTCTTTCTTCTTCCCTCCCCCCCTCTCTAAAAATAAGTAAAATCTTAAAAAAATAAAAACACATAAATAAAAATAAAGCAAAGGAGATAGTATAAGGGGGGTGGTGGTGATACTTTATGTAAACAGCTGGGGAAGGCCTTTCTGAGGTAATGACATTGGAGCTGGGACGTGGGGGAGTAAATATCTGGGAGACGAGCATGTCAATCAGGGTGAATAGCATGTGCAAAGGGCCTGAGGTGGCTGTGTGCTTAGCAGCTTTGAGGAACAGCAAGGGAGTCAGGATGGCTAGAGCATGGCAAGCAAAGGAAAAGCCGTTGGAGGTGGGTACCCAGGTGAGCCTCAGCCTTTGTTTGGCTTTGAGTCTGAACGAGATGGAGACCCCTGGAGAGTTCTGAGCAGGGGGTGGAAGTCACAGTCTGATTTATAGATGAACCAGACCCCTCTAGCCGATGTGTGGGCGATTTAAGACTGTGAGTAGGGCGAAGGAGAAAGGAGTCTAACTTGATTGGGAGTAAAAAGGAGAAAACTGTATATGACCAATGATTAATAATAAAAAAAATAATAATAAAAAAATAAAAAATAAAAAAAATAAAAAAAAAAAAAGAGAAAGGAGTCTAGTGAAGAGATTGGTACAGGATCCAGGCAAGAGATGATGGGGGCCATGCCCAGCAGAGTGGCCCCAAAAGAGGTGAGAAGTGACAGAACACGGGACACATTTTGAAGGCAGAGCCAAGGAATCTGAAGCTGTGGAAGAAAGAGGAGCCAAAATGACAAGAGAGGTTTTGGGCTTTTTACTGGTATGGAAGATGTAGGTGAGGTAAGGGAGCAGGCTTGGGGGCTTTGTGGAAACAAGACTTCATCTTTAGACACACCAGGTTTGGGATGCCAATTAGATATCCCAGTGGACATGACAAGAAGGCAGCTAGACATACAAGTCTGGCAATGTTGGAATGGAGCTATAGGCCTGAGAATCCACAGTTAGGATAAGTGGAATTCTTCTTTTTTTAATTGTATTTATTTTATTTTTAGAGAGATGGAGGGAGGGAGAAAGAGAGGGAGAGAAACATCAACGTGTGGTTGTCTCTCAGGCGTCTCCTACTGGGGACCTGGCCTGCAACCCAGGCATGTGCCCTGACTGGGAATTGAAACTGCAACCCTTTGGTTCGCACGTAGGCGGGCACTCAATCCACTGAGCCACACCAGCCAGGGCAGATAAACAGAATTCCTAACATTGCTCCCAAGGTTACCACCTCCTGGCGTGCCTGCTGGACATAAGCCCTCCCCATTGTGAGCAAGACCAGTGAGCATAATGGATGGCACTCCTGTGATTAGGTTACATTATATGGCAAAGGTGAAGGGATTTTTCAGGTATGGCCCAGGTCCCAAATTAGTTGAATTTTAGTTAATCTAAAAGGAGATTTTTCTGGGTGGACCCGATTGAGTCAAGCACGTCCTTTAAAAGAGAGCTTTGCTTGAGTCAAAAGACCGGAAGCTGAGCGTCTCCTGCTGGCCTTGACAAAATAAGCTGCCACGCAGTGAGATGGCCTCTGAAGAAAGAAACCGTGAGCAGCTGGCTCCGAGGAACCAAGCATGGCACCAGGTGACGGCCAGGGAGAAGGCAGGAACCCTGTCCTTAACCACAGGAACTGAATTCTGCCCACCGCCGTGTTAACTGGGAAACAGGTGCTGGGCTCCAGAGAGGAATGCAGCCCAGCCAACACCTGGACTGCAGCCTTGTGAGACCCGGAGCAGAGAGCCCAGCAAAGGCACACCTGGACTCCTGTGAAATAATACACACAGGCTGTTTTAAGCTGCTGAGTTTCTGGCAATTTGTTATGCAGCAACAGATAATCAACACATTAGTGTGGAAGCGTCTTTAAATTCCTGGAACCAAGATGGCTCAAATAACCCAGGCAAGGGACCTGCCTGAGGGCTAAACCAGACTGCAGGAATGCTGCGGGACACACCCGACCCCAGCCCCAACTGCTTCCTACTCCTTTCGGCCACTAGGTGTCCCCAGAGTCCACATAAACAGATCTCCCCACCTTTCTCAGGTCAGAATCCATTTCCTTCTGAAATGGAAGGAACCAAATAGTAAATGGTGTCTCTTCTATTCCTGTTCCACCTCCTCCACTTTACATACAAGGAAACGAAGGCCTGCGAGAGGGAAGGGCCTGGCCCCAAAGTCCCCCAGCGCTCTAGCACTGGAAACCGCCAGGCACTCTACCCTCCCCTGTCCCTGCCCTGCCTCCACCCTGGGGATTCATCCTGAAGGGCAAACGGGCTGATGCTGGCTCTGAAGATTTACCAGGAAAGGGCTGCGAAGGAGAATGACATCAGCAGAGGGCTCTGGAGTGCCCTGGGGGATGAAGCTGGCGTCTGTGATGTCTACTGGGAAGGGTACAACCTCCAGTTTGGGGCAGTGTTGGTGGTGAATGGAAGAGGCTCCTCCTGACACCCCCTCAGAAGCAACTCCTGGGGGCGGGGGGCGGCAATCAGAGGTGCCGAGTTATGGGTTATGGTTGCTGAGCCGTGAGCCACGCCCTTGGTCTAGCACCTGAACCTTCCATTGCAGACTGGGTTCTCCAGAAGCAGACACAGAGACTGAATTTGGGGTGCAAAATATTTATTAGGGATAAACACCTGCAAAGAGAAAAGGGAGGGGGAGGCAGGACTGGGTACAGGAAGTCAATCAGTGGCGCAGGCCTGGCAAAGCCCCCCTCACCCTGGAGGGGCCCTGGGTGAGGATGGGGGGGAGGGCGGGGCAAGTACTGCCTGCTAGTGTCTGACCCACACTGAAGTGAGATGGCCAGGCAGTCACACCCAATTCTGCTCTGACACCAGACACAGGCTGCCTTGGCTGAGTGGCTCTCTGGAGCCGGGGCAGACAGACTGGCGGAGCGCCGACAGCTGGGGCTCTCCACTGACCCTACTTCCCACAGCTGGGGAAGTCCTTCCTAGGAGGGGTTCTGGGTGACACACACATCTGCCACACCTCCGCCACCCTTGTAGGACTTCTTTTGTTTTCTGGTTGCCTAGCTTCCAATTAAGAGACTGAGAAGCCGACACTGGAATTTCTACACTGCCCCAGGCCACCTTTCTGTACGAGCTCAGCCCTCCCAGACTTGCTCTAGTTCCTCTTTAAGTCACCTATAGGCATCCCGGTCCCCAAATACCCTCTGAATGAGGTCGGCACACTTGGCCTTGGTTCTTATTGGGAAAATGGCTTTGTCCAACCTTAGGAATAATTCACAGGATCTGGTAGAGTGAAAACTAGGGTGAGGGGGCCCCGGGGGAACAAAAGGATTTTGAAAAGCCTTGGTCTCGGTTTCCAAAACACACTGGTGAGAATCTCAAGGGCAGGAATGGCAATTTGGTGCTTTTCTTTACTCATTCAATAAAAATATATTTTGGGCCGGTTATGTGCCAGGCACTGGAACCAACACCACCACTCCAGGCCCTGAGCTAGTCTTACACCAGCTGCAGTTGCAAGCAGGGAGAGGTAGCGCCCTTAAGGAATACAGAGACCGGTTGGAGATTTGGAGCTGATCTGTCTCTGACCTTGGCTGCTTGCAGGTCTTCCTGCAAGTTGCACCACCACTCTGACCCCGTTTCCTCCTCTCAACCAGGGAATAATACAGTTCACGGAGCACCAAGTTAAATGCTTCTCACCTCAAACTTCATTTCCCCGTAAGCAGCAGGTACTATCAGTTCCCATGTTACACATATGGCAGTCAGGGTGAACCTGCTCAAGGTCATGCAGGTAATGGTGGACGGAGCTAGGCTTGGAGCCCAGACAATGCGGCCCAACCCTGCATTTCACTTCTCATTAAGATAAGGGTCAAACCGCCCCCCAACCCAGGTATGCTTATACATTTCATTTGGTCCACAAAGATTCAAAAGTCAGCTTTCATTTTGACATGGAGATGTTTAGAAATACCCAGATTCCACTTTCTCTTAAAAAACCTAGCCACTTGGCCACTGTGGGTGACAATCCCACAGGGTCACAGCTGGCAGGAGGTGAGCAGTTGTCCCCACCTTGAAGTGGGTCATGAAGCCAGTGTCCACCCAGACTCTCATCCATTTATGCTACCTGCCTGGCCCCTGCAGGAATGAGCTTGGCACCCTCAGTGAAGACCAGGGAGTCCTGAGATAGAGGGAGGCAGAGGCCTGGAGGAGCCAGGTGCCTCGTCCTGGAATTCCCAGCTCTTCCTGTACAGCGCTAAATCAAGAGACTTGAACCTGGCAAACTGGGAAGGGGTGAGGAAAGGCACAGACATGTAGAACCACAGGGCGAGGTAGGGGCAAATACACTTTATTCAGTCCTGGCATCAGACTGGCGGAAGTCCTGCTGTGGGTGCCAGTGCCCCAGATGGGAGGGATCCCTCCCCTCAGCTACTAGACTAGTTCTTCAAGACCACAGACAATGACATCTCTTCACTCACATGACGTTTTCTGGGTTTTTTTTCATTGTCTTTTTGTTGTTGTTTTACTTAAAAAAGAGAGAGAAAGAGAGAGAGAGAGAAAGAGAGAGCGCAAGAAAGGCCCAGAGCCGGAGCACCAAGCGTAAAGGAGGCAGCTGGTGGCTTTGTCAGCGATGGGAACGCGTGGGGCAGAGGCCAGCAGAGACCCTGGGCAGGGGTCCCGGAGGACTCTGGGACCGTTTGTTCCTGAGATTTGTGTGTGTGAATGAGAGTGTGTGCACACCCGGGGGGTGAACACACGCCGGTGAGATACAGGTAGTGAGGGCAAGGGAGGTGGGGGTGGGGGAGGCCGGAGGGGCGGGGCCTGAGCGGGGAATTGGGAGTTAGAGGGGTAACATCAGGGGCAGGGTCCCTAAGGCACCCCGAACTGGACACAGCTTCCTCTTACAACATCGCTATCCCTATTTTTTCACGTAGAAAAATAGGCGCAGGGCACACCTCCACTGCTCTGACAGCCTTTCAGTCTCACTGGTCCAATCGATGGTCTCAAGTCAGCTGCTCAAAAACAAGGCTCTTAAAAATGAGGCTCTTCTTGACACTCCATCTGCTATCGTGCTTCAGTCTCAAGCCCTTGGTAACAACGTGCCCTGCCTCTCCCACTGAATACTATCACTGGGGGCACAGGGAGGCTTGAGTGATAGGAAGAGGTTGTGGGCTTCAGGAGCCCAGGCTCGAGAGTGTGCCCTGAACTGACAGGGCACTTCCGGAGGAGGGGGGAAGCGGCAGAACACTGTCCCCCAAACACACTGTTAACGTGTCTCAGTTCTGAGTTTTCTTGGTCATCCCTTCCTCTCATGGTGAATTTCCAGAGAAAGATCCTACCCCAATTCCCAGGGTGAGGAATGAAAGAGAGGTTTCTGGGGACCAAGATAGGCCGCAGAGGCATTCAGGTAGTTGGTGTGTGTGTGGGGGGGTACCGGTGGGTCTGCGCGACCCCATTAAGTGAAAGGAGGTTACTCCACTTGGGACATTTTCAAGTTCCAAACCAACCCTTCCGGACCGGCTAGTTAGTCCCTTTCTCCCCCTTTTGAGTGCTCCTCCCATTAAGGCAGTGACGCCCCGTCGGGTTGAAAAGAAGCCGCAGCTCCCGGATCAAAATATTTCTCAGGATACCTCTGTACCCACCCCACTTCTGCCCAGTGCTGGCCAGAGGGACCAGCCCCCTCCTCCCAAGGAGCATTAAGCATGCGCCAAAAGGGGGCGGGTCCCTGCGTTCCCAGAGTAAAAGAAGCGCGCCCCTCCCCCCACTTGGGGGGGAGGGGCCTGGGAGGAGTGCGCGGGGCCTCTGGGCCCCAGCGCCCCCCTAAACGAGAGAAGAGAAGGGCTAGGCAAAGGCGGAGGGATTCCGGAGCAAGGGCAGGGGCGTGTCCTCCGGCCTCGAGGAGGGGCAAGTGCATAGTGGGGGAGGGGCACAGGTCTGTAGGAAAGGACGGGAGGTGTACCGGAGGGGGGCTGGCTGCTGGTGGCTGTGCAGAAGGGGGCAGGGCAGGGAGGAGCTTGGATGTCAGGGAAAGGGTGGGGGTTGGGCTGCCTTGGGGTGTGTCTGCGGGGGAGGGGCATGTCTGGATTCGAGGGGGGATGGGCACGTCTAGGAGGGGGGAGGCTGCGTGGGAGATGGGGTGCCAGCCTCGGCCTCCGAGGGGCCCCAATACCTGATTCCTGTATGTAAACAGCTGGTTTGGGGGCTTGCGCGCCCCGCTGACGGTGGGCTCAGTAGGTGAAAACCAGGTCGGCGATGCTAGACGGGCGCCAGTCCCCCGCGATCATCTCGGTAACCTCTGGGGTGCAGTAGTCCGGGAACTCGAAGTGCGACGTGCCTGACGGAGGCTGCAGGTCAGGGTCGCGGTCCAGGGCGCTGCAGTCCAGGCCGGCTGGGCCCGGGGGCAGTCTGGATAGAAAGCCCAGGGGCTCCTCTCCCGACGCCACCGTCTCCTCTTCGCCTTCCTCCGCCGCTGCTGCCTCCTCCTCCTCTTCCTCAGGCTCCTCGTCCTCCGACGGAGTAGGGGAGGCAGTGGTGACAGCCGCTCCCTCGCCCGACGGCCCCTGAGCGCGCTCCGCTGGTCCCCGGGCAGCCCGCCCTGCCGGGACCATCTTCCACAGCTCCCGCCCGGGGGTCTCGACCAGGCGCACTTCTAGCAGCTCCTCGTCGTCGTCCTCATCGTCGTCCTCGGGAGCCGCCGCGCTGCCCCCCAAAGGCCCTCCTGCCGCTCGGCGGCCCCCGCGGCTAGGCAGCTGCGACCCAGGCTTGAGCCGGCTGCCACCACCGCCGCCACCGCCGGGGGGGCGGGGCCGCGCCTTGGCTGGCGCCCCCTTGCTCTTTTTGCGCGGCCGGTACTTGTAGTCCGGGTAATCCGCCATGTGCTTGAGGCGCAGCCGCTCCGCCTCCCGCACGAACGGGATCTTCTCCGAGTCCTGCAGCAGCTGCCAGCGGCGGCCCAGGCGCTTGGAGATCTCGGCGTTGTGCATGTCGGGCCACTGGTCCATGATCTTTCGCCGTTCGTGCTGTGACCACACCATGAACGCGTTCATCGGTCTCTTAATGTGGCCGCTCGGGGTCTTGCACCAACCGGGCTCACGCGCCCCCTCCTCGGCCGGCCCCGGCCCCGGGGGCGGCGGCCCGCCGTCCCGCTTGGCCCGCGTGCCCCGCTGCTGCACCATCGCGCCTGGGCCCGGGGCCGCTAGACGCCGCCGGGGGCCGTCCGCATCCTCCGCGGCTGGGGGTGGGGGAGGAGGCAGCAGCGACGGAGGGGCGGCCCCGCCCCGTAGCTCGGCCCGGCCCCCGAGAGCTGGGGAGCAAGGAGCTGGGCGCTCGGGCCCAACGGACGGCGGGGGGAGGTCAGCAGCTCGGTCTCAGGCGGGTTCGGCGCGTCCCCGCCGCCTCCCGCAAGTTGCGCCCCGCTGCACGCTACACATTGTTTTGCGGGGGCGGAGGAATCGCACCCCCGGACCCCGCGGGCTCTCCTAGTAGCCTCCTGCTCAGCCGCGGCCCGCGCGCGCCTCTCCCCGCCCGGTTGCCTTCCAGTGTCTTTCTCCCCGCGCGGCCCCGCCGGCGCGCGCACCACCCCTCCCCCTCGCCGTCTGCGGGCCGCTGCGGCGCGCGCGGGGCCGCCCCGAGTAAACACCGAGGTGCCCGCTTGGGCTGCGGCCGGGCCACGCCTCGCGCTCGAGTGGCGCGTCACCCGTTGCTGGGCAGAGAACCTGGTATTTGCATCTCCCAATCGCTGACTGCCGGGACGGGGCGGGGCTGCGCGGTTTCGCGTCTGGGATTGGGGGTGTCGGATGAGATCGGTTTCTTTTCTTAGGTTGGGGATTGGAGGGGGGTGGGCACCAATATTGCCTCCCATCTGGTTCCGAAAGCTTGTCCCCGCCCCGCATTGCCTTTGAAATTTTAGATTATTCGGTGACACCTGCCGTCAGGTAAGACCTGTCCCCTCCTCTTTCGGGGCGTCTTTTTGGACCGTCCCAGAAAAGAATTTGGGGGACCCAGGCTCAGGAAAGCTCATTAAGGGGACCGACTCATCGAGTCATAGATGTAGTTCCTGCCTAACACAGACAGGGTCCATCCACACAGGGGCTCGATAATGCTTTGGGATCCAATGAGCTCTTTCATTTAGTATCTCGTTTGAGGCTCCAGTAGGGTGATTCTCTGAGAAAGAAGAGAATATTACGCTCACAACCCAAGTACGAAACGTATGGACTCGGGCTCGAATCCTAGGCTCTCTTCCCTGATCAGCGCAAAAGGGGTCGGGACATGTCGCCTACCAACCAAGTCCTGAGCAGAACGGACGTTCTGCTTTTCACAGTCCTAGGGCGAGATTCGAGAATGTGTAGATGCCCCATAACCAGGTCCCATTACCTACTGCAACGGGTCTGCTGCGGGACTAGGGCGCGACGCCCGTCCGGGATGAGACGGGCGTGCGCGGGCACGGGGGCGGAGCCTGATCAAGGGGCGTGTCGGCGACGCACGTTCAAGGCTCATGGCGAGGAGGGGCTGCGCGCTCCCTGCTCACCACGTGTGAACCTGCACGGGCACTGCGGGTTATGTGCTAACCCCAGGAGAAGTCACCTTCACTGAGACCAGGACTTGGGCGATGAGAGGGGGCGCTGAGGCCTAGTCCCTCGAAGTCAGTTGCTGGAAAGGGTCGGAATTAGGGGCTTTGAAATGGCATTCTGCTGGGGCGTAGTGGGTGGGCACCGGCGGAGGCGGACGTAACTTATCTCTGGCGGTATACCTTACCTCCACTCGGCGGGTGGAGGCTGAGAGCCTAGCCGGAGGGTGTAGGGAGTGGGGGATGGGATGAGGTGAAGCTCCGCAGTAGCGGGATGGGGGCGGGGTGATGCTCTGGGTGCCCTAGAGGGAAATTGGAGCTACGCGGGCGGGAGGGGATGACTCTTAAAGGCACAGGACTTTCAGAAAGGGAAGGTCCTGCTCCCTACCAAATGCTTCCTTCCCTGTCTCACTAGATGCTATCCCCGAGTTTACACATTCACCACGGCAGCCTGGTAGTCTCAGTGCTCGATGGGGTTAGAATTACTGTATTCATATCCCGGTGCCTGCTTTGCTAATCTTAAAATGGAGAAAAATCAGTTTTTCTCTCATATGGTTGTTTCACAAATTAAATGGGATAATGGATGTAAACGCATCCATTATAGAGGTATCAAAGAGTAATCATGGGGAAAATAAAAGCTTTAACATTTTTTCTAACACTCCTACTTTTTCTATTTAATATTTGTTTTGCTTTAAATCACATAGACACCGCCATCTTTTAAATGCTTAGGGCCTCTCAAAGGTCTTACTCTGGCCCTGTAACTGCTGCTGCTACTGTTGTTGATGTTTACATGTTGGCCTCCTGGATGTTCCTCAAAGACAGAAGATTTGGGCCCATCTCATGGCCTTGGTACAGGCTGTCTCCTCTGCCTGGAAAACTCTTCACCCCCACCCTCACATGGATGGCCCACTTCATTCTAGCCTCAGCTTAGAGGGGACTGTCCCGAGAGGCTGCCTTGTCCACTCTCTTCTGCTGCTGACTTGACTGGTCGTGCACATCTCAGGTGCACAGAATTACTTGTCTGGAACATGTTTTCATCATTGTCTGTGACAGGCTCACTCTGTGTTTTTATGTATTCATTTATAAATAAGGAAAACCAGTGAAATCAGCAACCTAACATGAGAACTGGAAAATTGATAATAACCTACCTTCCGTGTGAACTCTCGGTTTCCATCCCCTGCCTTTCTACACCTGATGTAATGTCTATCCTGAACCTTCCCTTGTGTTAAAAAAAAAAAGCTTTATTGAGATAGAATTCACATACCATACTATTCACCCATTTAAAGTGTACAAACCAATGGTACATTCAGAGTTGTGCAGCCATCACTGCAACCACTTTTAGAATATTTTCATCATGCCCAAAAGAAACTACTCCCCTTTGTTCTCACCTCAGCTCTAGGTGACCATTAGTCTTTCTGTCTCCGTGGATTTGCTGCACCATTTTACATTCCTACCAGCAGTGTATGAGGATTTCAGTTTCTCTGCTCTGCTTTTTAAAATATTTTCTTTAAAAACTATATTTTCTTTAGCTTTATCAAAGTATGATGCTGTATACATTTTCTGGTATTTACTTTCTCGTTCAACATTATAGTGCTAAAATTCATCTGAATTCTTGCCCCTGTGTGGGGCAGTACCATTCATTTTCTTCCGTGGGATATACATACTTTTCCTTCCCGTCAGTTCTCCTGTCCGTGGACATTGGGATCATTGCCAGGATTTTGCTCTTATGAAAAATGTTACTGTTGCTCAAGATGTGTCCCTGGTGCTCAGAGCAGGAAGGTCTCCCAAGTATCTCACGGAAGGCGTGAGTGTGCATCTGAGGACATGTGATTGCTAACTTTTATGAGGTGATGCTAAACTTCCAAGTTATACTAATTCACTTTTCCACCAACAAATACAAGCGACCCTGTGCACCCACATCCTGTCCCGAGTTTGGTATCATCAGGTGTCTTTATTTTGGTTGCATTCTCTTCCATCACCTTCCCCGTTTTCTTGGTAGTACCTATCACATCTGCAGCTATTTTATTTCTTCACTTGGTTTTCAGCATCTCATCTGCACTAGAAGTTCAGCTTCAAGAGGCAGAGATGTTTGTCTTTGTTTACTGCTTTATCCCTAGCAGATTGCCTGGCATACAGTAGGTGGTCAATAAGTATTAATTGAATGAGTCCAAGTCAGTGCTCTATGATGAGTGCACTGAAATTCCTGGGGAAGCCTGAAGAAGGAAGTAAAATTTCGGAGAACAATACTGCAAACTCCAGTCTGCACTGAGATGTGGTAGTTACCAGTACCCACAGACTACCTACCCTAAGTCCTTTCAGATGGAACCCCAGGGTCTAGGCCTTACAGGCGCTAGGAGTTCAAGTGTCGGCTCACCGTTGAGCTGTTCGGTCCAGACTGCAGTAGGTAGGCAGTGAGGTTCTTGGAGAGCAGCTCACCCCTACTACCCCACCAGCCCAGGCCACCATCATCTCTCCTCTGGGCACCTCCCCAGCCTCCTTTCTGGTCCCTACAGCTACCAGGTCCCCTTCCATTCCACTCTCCTCCCTGAAGACAGTGATGGGGTCTTCCAGGCACAGATCGTTGTGCCTCTTCCCTTCTTAGCACTCTCCAGTGGCTTCGCCGTTACTCTCAAGATAAACAACAGACACCTGGCTCACCAGGTTAAGCTTGGTCTGACCCTTGTTCGCTTATCTAACCTCCTCTCCCACTTTCTCTGTTTTGAGCCAGCTCCCAGTCAATCAGGCCTGCTGAGTCCCCACACAGGGTGTTGTGACACCCCTTCTCCTGCTCTTTCTAGCACTTTCACCTGACTGCCTCCTTAGAGCCCCCCTAACTCCGTATTTCTTTTCTTTCTTGCACCCATGGCTTACCTAGCTCACTTGTCACTTGGAACAGATCATTTTTAAATACTGCCCTCCTCTAAATGACATTATTTTCAATAACAGTCATGAAATACAAGAAATACTAATGATAATGGTGAGAAAAGAAATGCAGACAGTGAAAATGTTCTTTTTTTTTTTAAAGGGTTTGAGGTAATTTTTTTTTAAGATTTTATTTATTTTTAGAGAGAGAAGGGAGGGAGGGGGAGAGAGAGAGAGAGAGAGAGAGAGAAACATCAATGTGCGGTTGCTGGGGGTTATGGCCTGCAACCCAGGAACGTACCCTGGCTGGGAATCGAACCTGGGACACTTTGGTTCCCAGCCCACACTCAATCCACTGAGCTACACCAGCCAGGGCTGAAAATGCTCTTTTATTGAACTTTGTACGTGTAACTGCAATTGAAAATAAATAGTACAATACAAAAAAAGGAAAAGAGTATTGAATCAGTGATTTTCAATTACATTAATACATTTCTTTGAAAAAAAATACCCTTATAGCAGTCCATTGTAATAACTACATTAATTACATTACAATTTAAAAACAAAGCACTTTAAACATAAGAATCTGTAAAACAATTTTACTAAATAATAATACAATTTTACCGAATAATAAAATTTGCAGTTACCACACTTTATAGTTTACTCTTTGTTTTACTGGTATAAGTTTTCAGGGCAAAAGCTTTAAGTGGTCACGTGAAATGAGAGAATTGAAGCAACTCAAGTTCTAGTTCTTCAGCTGCATCATCACTGTGCTATCGTTGTTTATCTTGCATCTATTGTTTAAACACAGACATATGTTGTGCCAACGGGGCTGGAGACACAAGTGTTCAGGAAACGAGCTTGAACAATTCCAGACTGTTAGGGACTTACTCTCAGACTAATGTGTGTGGCTGGGTCTGGCTTGGCGTGTGGTGGGGGCTGAGTGTGTAACTGGGAGGGCTCTGAATTGACTTCCTTGTAGACCATAATGTTTATCAGTGTATAAGGAATTAAAATATGCTGATTTGAAGCTTACAAATACATTACTTAGACTGAAGTTAGACTCAACTTGATCTTTAGGGAGTGGAATTTTATCAGTGACATGGTTTAGAATTATGAGCACATGGTGATAATAAAATGCAGATTGCCTCTCAGTCAGTTTTATTACTGTCTTAAATTCTCTGCAGACACAGCCCCAC